CACTACTGTTTTCACTTGTATACTTGCCCTTCCCCCCTTCCTTCACTGCTCTCACATAGCTGTGTATATTTCCAACACAGTCTGCTTTTACCATTTCTCACGGTCTCTTCGCTTGCAGATTTCTTATATTTTTTCTTCTATCCTCAAGATGGAGGCGATACGTTCCTCCAAAACGTCGGTTAACACCATATATACACGGTGCCAAATCCCAGAAGACTGCTTTCTTCAAGATATACCGTTTTTATAATGTTATTCAAAAACAAATTTGCAGTGTGTGTGTTCACCCACAGTGCTGTAGTTCTCCCAGCTTTCACCAGCAGTGCTATCCATCATCCTCTCTCACACAGATGCCATTGCAGTAGAGGTTGGTTGAATTTGTGATTGCATTGAAGTATATATTCCTGAAATCTTTCATGCATCAGTCTGCTATGTTGCTTATGAAGACTTTCATTGGAGAACTACAGTAAAAACGTGTTTTAATTTTGTATTATGTTTCTGTAAGAGTTTTTTTTCTTGCAATTGGCAGTTTCATATAAGTAGCAAATCCTACTCCCCACACATGCCAGGTGGTAAGAAGTTTACTGTACTACAAATTGGAGTATTTCCTTTTGTTTTTGTTTATCTGTATCCACATTGGACATATCCCGTAAATGTGGTAGTACAACCAACATAATATGTATATCTGAATAACATTAAATGTTTTATTTAATGACGCACTGACATTATTTTATTCAGAGGGTTCACATTCTTTCTGACAGTATTTCTGTTTTCAGGAATCCTGTGTGAAACTATTCCAGAAATTATCAACTGTGAATCAAGACACAGTTTGGCTGAAAGTTGTCAGTATGTGGCATCCCATTCATACATTAAATCCACCTACTGGCGGTTTGCAGGTAATAAAGGTAAGTGTATTGAGATTTGTGGTTTTCATGGCAATATCAGTTTACTGAGACATGCCAGGATAGTATCTTCAAATGTGCTTCCTTCTGTGTCCTTCCCAATTAATCATTTCTGTAGTAAAGGTAAAGCTATTCCTTTTAACAGGCCATGGAGGCCCACAGAGTTGTGAGAGTCAAGGTTCCTGCATTTTCTAGACAGTTGGCTTACAGATGGCAGTGAGTTTGTCATCCTCATGCACTGGCCACCCTTTACCCCCAGGAATATTCTTGATACTCATTTCTATTAGAGGTTGAGTTGACCCCAGGGCCATATTGCCATTGATGTTTGAGGCATGGCCACTGATACTGTATTGGCCTGTAAGAGACATTATGTGCAACCCAATTCAAACCTGCTGCAGCAACTTTCAACATCAAATATCATGTGTGACTGGACAAACGTTTTGTGAACTTGAATGAAAGACATAACATAGTACTTAAGTGAAGGGTTATGCTTTTTTTTCTAAATTTGTAGGAATAAACCCTACAGTTCTAGCACAAGTGATTGGTATTTTAGGGCTTTCTAAATGTTTGTGAGTTAGTCATGATTTTGATACCACTTCTTGGATAATATATTCATGATGCAGGCTAAGATTGATTCTGTGTTTGATAAAGCATAGTTTCAGGAAGCTTAATTGCTTGTTTCTAGTGTTCTAAGCAATCTATATTGTTTTAAAATGTGCTCACACTATTATTACCTGATATAACAGGAGTGTTGCCTTTTTCTTATTTATCTTGCCCAGACTTCATGGAACTGTATATTATTTCCACCAGCTGGTCACCTTGGTCTCAATTACATAAACAAGGAGACGACCAGGAAAGATACACATTAGTTTGTGTTTAACCCGTGATGTGAGGTACCATGAGCCATGTCAATTTCTTTTCAGCTGGGAACAAGTACTGTGAGTTTATATGTTATATGTGTAATTTGAATGTATAACAATATATATAAATTATTTTTATATAGTTTCTGATTTAAAGTGTCTTAGTACATCATGTCACTTATTAAGCTGAGTATAAGTGGTGGTGGTTGTTCCTGTGGTTGCACTGTTTGCAAAATAGTTTTTAATGCATATAATTTCCTTAAAAAAATGTATCTGAAGAAAAATGAAGACAATTGGATGCCACTGAATACCAGGACCTGACAGCCAAATTGTGTGTTGTGTAAGCAAATCAGATGTATCACGTATATGCAGGAGAAGCAAAGAAGGAAAAAGAAGAGGGTACTAACAAGGTGTTACCAAAAACAGCAACAAACTAGATGACTTCTGAAAAGATGTTTTACTCATAACTGTTTTAGTATATTATGACAAAGGTGAATTCCTTGCTGTCAAAAAAGTAAAACTTGGTCTTATGGGGGGGAAAAATTGCATATAAAGGTTCAGTTCATGCTTTATTCTTACAAAATGGTTCAGTTCTATTCTTACATAGTCTGTGCTCATATCAGTTTCCTGATGCTGCTGCTGCTGTCAGTCTATCTATGGCTCTCCAGCCCTTTGCCTCTTTTTCAGTTTCTTGATCTATACACAGTTGGTAAGTCTCCTTGGACGGGGGATTAGCCCACCATAAAGCTGCTAGCCACACACAGAACAACACAAACAGAATAAAAGCAGAGAGACATCCATACCTCAAATGGGATTTGAACCCATAATCCCATTGTTTGAATAGGTGAAGACAGTTCATGCCTTAGACCGTGCAGCGACTGTTGTTGGTAATGCTGCTGCTGCTACACACTCATTACTCATTCTCACCAAACATCAAGATATGAATCCTACTATAATGCTTTCACTTAACACTCTAACCTATCCAATTGATACCATGTCATTAAACAACCAACTTGTGCCTAAATCTTTCAAGCTGCTTTAGAGTGAAGGTCAGCAGTCACCTGCATTCTGTACCAGTCAACACTGTGAAGCTTTATCTTAATGTCACAGTAGCCCTTCACGGTGTGATGCTTAGAATACAGGCAGCTTTACCGTTTACCATTACTTAAACATATTTTGATACATGTCAAGTTTGCTCAGTTAAGGGGAGTTCAGTTTTATTTATTCATTTTTTGACAAATTTTAAGGACATTTTACTATTCATATCTCATGCTGATGGTACTTCACATTAACAGAATATATATTCTGCTCTCATATTTTAGGTGTTTCTAGTGGCTGACAGTTTTAGCTTACAGCTTCGTTTTCTTGTGGTTTTGCACATAACTGTTACTGACACTTCTTTTCTTTTCTTATCTCCACTGATGATATTTGACATAAACAGAACATACATCACTGACAGAAACATGTTGACCCAGCTTACTGTGTTGAGTTCATGCTGAAAGAAGTGTCTGCATGTTGTTACATGTTAATGAGAAGACACGGGGTTTGGATTGGGAATGGATTTATTGAACAATAACTACAAGTAATTATAACAGTCTTATTAGTCACTCTTAGATCACTGTAACTACAGCATACATAAAGTCCATGTCTTCACTAGTCGTTACTTAGTAGTGGCTCCTAACAATGAATATTTCTCTGCTTCCTTGCTGGATGGCGACCGGCTCACAACTCTCAGCTGCAAGTAATTCAAGTCAAAGTTATGTTATGACCGACGATCAGTCAGTCAGTCCGCTTTGGTGTCAAGCCACATCTTGGGCCCAAGACCAGATTTCTCTTACTGTCAGACAGTTGTATATAGCCATGGGCACGTTTAGCGTGCCATTGCTTAGCAATGGCTGCACTATTCTGGCTTTCAGTCTTTTATGTCAATATGAAGAAAATTTTGTAATGATAAGTGATGAACCAGTCAATGAATGTAATTTTTAAGCATTCTCTGTATAAAGTTAATGCATAACGCAGAGATCGTGTGTGTTCATCAGTCCAGTCAGTTCAGTGGATTGTGGTATAATAGGTCTAGACCAAAGTTTTCAGGTAGATTTAGCTTTGGTACATTTCACTCCACTAGAACTCAAGTTAGACTACTTTTAACAGCTCTTGGTGCATGACATGAAATACTGATCTCATTAAGATCGATGACCGTATTCCATAAATGTTGCATCATCAGATTTCCAACAGTGAACTGAGGTCAGTGGTGAAGGTAAAGTTGTCCCTGTATGAGTATGAGGGGTGGGCCATAAAATCCGTCCCTCGCACCGCGACCTTCAATAATCTATTGTGCTTCCCCTTTGGATTAACTCTATTAATCCTACACTTCGAATGAAATGTAGGACTTTATTTATGGGGGCATCATAAAAGTCACTTGGTTCCATGAAGAACTGACCCAGGTGGCAAAATCTTAAGTAAGCTATAGCCTCACAATCACATAGGATGTGTGCAACTGATTCATCTTGCAGGCACCTTTCACAAATTGGGTCATCAGTCAGTCCCAGTTAGAAAAGGTGCCCTTTTAGGTGGCAGTGTCCTGTACTGAACTAATTTAGCACTATGCCATGAAGGCATATTTGGGAGGGGATGTATAGATCCATGTTTTCTTGACCTTGGCACTAGGTGGAGGTGAATGGTCAGCTTCATGCCTTGGCTTCTTTATCCCTGGGGCAAGAGTCCGCAGGACCCATTTGATGGGAGGCTGAGTGGGCCCCAGAACCAGCCTGAATGTTATAGAGAAGAGAAAATTCTTACCCTTATTGGGACTGGAACTCCAACCCCTCAGTTGTCCAGCCTGTAGCCTTTCATACACTGACTGTGCTATCCTGGTTCTCAAAACAAGGGCAATGATGTAAGCAAAACTTGAAAGAATAATTGGAAAACATATGAAGTATATATATATAATATATGAAGTACACTTTCATACTCCTGATTTAGCGAGACTACAGATTTCCTGAATGGCCAGAGCAGTGGCAACACATCTTATTTGCATCGCTTTATTTTGTCATGCTTCTTATTGTTCTAGGTGACAGAAAAGGATGTCCACAGTCAAGAGGAATTCAAGAAAAATGTTGAAGAAATTCTGACATTTCTGAATATTAGATCTTAGAAGGAAGAAATTACCCACTTATATGAACATAAACACAGACTGTTTAGTATATTCAGCCTTATGGTAAAGATCCACTTCCTGGTTAAAAAAATAGCTGGTGCAGTAGGGTCTATTTGCATTGCAAATACTACTTTTCAGGCTAAAAACTGTATTTTGATGCAGTTGTTAAGTTTCAGAATGTATGTACTGCCATCTGTTGATTAATCAAAATATTGAATGGGTAAGGATGAATTTCTTATGGCTGTGACTGAAGGATCCAGTATTACAGGATGTGATACTATGTAGTAGCCCGTGCTACATGGTGTCACATCCTAGAAGAAAGAAGGAACAGATCCTTTACCAAGTCTTCTGTAAATTTTTTGGTTATTAAAGGGAAAGGTGGAATATGCTGCTAGGCTATGAGCTGAACTGTTTACCCTCTCTATGCTAGACAAAGAGGAAAATGAGGTCATTTGCAGCAATTGTGTTTCAATTAATTTAGTGTTGAATCGTTATTTTTATGTGACTTGAAAAGAGTATACAGTGCAACATTTGAGTAAAAGAATTATGTGAATGAAGAGTTTTCATCTTTTATTCCTGCTACAAAAAAATCTCATGAAATTTTGTTGCCGTTAATTACGTGAGTCAGATGAAAGAATACTAAATATGTAAGATTTGAGGCTTTCACGGCAGTGACTATGAAGAAAGCAGTCTTCTGGGATTTGGCACCGTGTATATGTGGTGTTAACCGACGTTTCGGAGGAACGTATCGCCTCCATCTTCAGGGTAGAAGAAAAATATAAGAAATCCGGCCTCTTCGCTTGCAGATTTCTTATATTTTTCTTCTACCCTGGAGATGGAGGCGATACGTTCCTCCGAAACGTCGGTTAACACCACATATATATGGTGCCAAATCCCAGAAGACTGCTTTCTTCAATACTAAATATATTTGTCATAAGGTGTCTCATCCAGATGGATAATGGTGTATAACTCAGAAGTACTTACAACTTCCACTTAACTGTATACAAGATTTTACAGCTTCCAGGATGTGTTAAGACTACTGATAAAAGTAATGGCATCCATGACATGTCTAGATAGTAAATGGTGGTCTCACAGCTATGCCTTCTCAACATATCATGTAAGCAGCAAATTCTTTTCTTTTCTACACCATTGTATACATACTGTAGGGTCCTTACAATGAGATGCTTACCACTCTCTTCCATCTTGCCTCAAGATTTAGATAAAGTGGATGTTATCTCCATGCTTCCATATGCCTCCAAAGCGAAATACTCAAGACACATGAACCAGATTACTATCACATTTATTTTTAACAGTTTGAGCTGCAAACTATTAACAAAGAATCTCCATATTTTGCAGTTATCTCCATTGTCTTTTCCACATGTCTTTCACTTAAATTTCCTTCAAGGCCTTGTTTCAGTCAGAGTGAGATTTTGTAACAAAACAATAATAATGTAATTTCATAGTTATCAAACTTCAGTACACAGAACAGTGGGACTATATAAGCAATTTGGGGACATCTGAATGTATTTAGCAGTTCCTCCCTCCTTTACGCCACATATTTTTGGGAGATGATCACTGCATTCATCCCTGGTTTCTTGTTGTGTCCCCAATGCTTCCCTGATGAACTAGGCTGTCCAAGCTTTGCACATTACCCAGGAAAAGACCAGTATCTCAAAAATAACAAAATATTTAATAACAGTAAACAATGCTAACAAAAAAAAAAAATAGCACAATAACAACATAATAATCTGACTATGAATGTGCAACATTTGCAAACAATAAGGACATTGAGCTGGTCCACCTCGTCGAAGACGGCCGGAGCTCACAATCGACTGTTTGTCGCGTGGTGTTCCAATGCCTCCCCAATGTGGAAGGGGATCTCAAGGGAGGAACCAAGAGGGTTAGCTGGCATAGGCGTTAGGCAGTACAAGTAATCAAGCAGAGTACACAGAAAGCAGAACAATCCAGCTGGTTTTTCAATAACATAAAGTATATTGTAACATAAGTATAGAAATATAAATTGTACAAGTATCACAAAGGAAAATACCACAGCTTCGCCTGAGGGGCAGCAAAAATGTCAAATGAACACAAGTCAAGAATCAGAATGGGCACGCACAGGGTTTAAACTGTCGCAATAATCTGACTGCAAAAGATGAAAATCAATCATTATGTTCTGACTACACCCGATTTCAGAATACTTAAAACAGAGCTGAAAGAAACAAAACAGTCAATCCTAGCAAAGTGCCCCCGCCGCATTGCGGCACTCATTAACCAATCGTAACTCACGTAACTCCGTGGCACTTTCACTAATACAGGGCAGTCCCACCAATACACATCGCCCAACTTACTCAGTAAGTACTTACTTGATAAATTATATTATAAACCAGGAAAAATAAATAAACTCCCGAGCCAGCCAGCTCATACTAGCTCGAAAGGTCTCTCTCTCTCTCTCTTCCAGTAGTACGTAGTGTGCCGAAACAGAATTTCCACGCAACATGCGTAATCCAAACCAAACTGAATTTCCGATGCCCAAAACCGACCTCGGTCGAAGCCGAAGAGGAAAGAGCGACAGACGATGTTGTCTGTAAACGTAGGAAGCTTCAGCTTGTGCCGGGACAGGAGGGAAGGGGAAACACGTGACCTCTGGTAGCAAAGAACTTAATGGGAAAAGGATCGGCTCCGCGTCGTAGCATAGGTAGATGCCAGAGAGAGACGGTAAATCCAAGGACCCTACACAGAAAGAACCATAACACGGTTCAACATTACAAAACTCTGGCCATATTTCATCTTTGCAACTGAAAACCCAGAAAAGAATGCAACTCGTCGCTCAAAAACACTGCCCCATTATAACAATCAAGGCAAGGAAAGGAAAAGCAGGCAGGCAGGCAGGAATGGAGGCAAAAGGAGACAGGTAGGCAGGCAAGCGAAAAGAAGCATACAGGCAAAAGCAGTAAGGCTGGTTAAAGCAGGCAGGGAGGGAGGTAGAGGGAGGTAGGCAGGCATAAACAAACATGTAGGTATACAAAGCAAACAAAGGCAAGTCAGGCACACATGGAAAAGAAGGCAGCCAAAAGCATGCAACCAGGCAGGCAAAAGGCTGCATGCAAAGCAAAGATAGTCAAGGCAATACAGGGAGAAGCGAGGAGGCGGGCAAGCATGAAAAAGCAGCCCAGCAAAATCAGGCAGGCTAAAGCATGTAGGCAAGCAAAACAAAATAGGTAGGCAAAAGCAAAGCAAGGCAAGTAATTCAGGAGAAGAGAGGGGGAGGCTAAAGGAGTCGGAAAGCAAAATTTTCACAAGGAGAGAAGCAAGCAAAAGCATGCAGGACAACAAAATTGGTAGGCAGGCAAATGGAGTAAGGCAAAAGCATGTATGCAGACGGGTAAGAAATGGGATCCAGGCAGGCAAGCAGGAAAAAGCTGGCTTTTAGGCAAAACAAAGCAAAGGAAAGCAAGGCAAGGAGGCAAAAGGAGGCAGGAAGGAAAAAGCAGAGGTACAAGGAGGCTGACGAAAGGACTCACGCAAACCAAGCAGGTATGATGGCAAAAGCACAAATGCAGACTGGCAAGAAATATCAGCCAGGTAGGCATGAGCAGGCAGGCTTGCAGGAGACTGCATGGAAAAGCACATAGACAGCTAAAAGCAAGCAGGCAGGCAGGTATGTAGGTAGGAAAACCCAGGCAAAAGCAAATGGAGATGAAAGTAGGCAGGAAAGACCAAGGATGAAGGCAGACAGGTAGACAGAAGCAGGCAGGCAAAAGGAGTCAGGCAGGTAGCCACAAGGAGGCAAGCAGGTAAAGAGGGGCAGGCATTCAAAAGCAGGTAAGCTACCAGGGAGGCAGGCACAGGAAAAGCAAGGCAACACTAGGTGAGGTAGGCAAAAGTAGGAAGATGGAAGGAGGCAGGCATGCAGAGTAAAGAAAGTCAAGACAAGGCAGGTAAAAGCATGCATGCAGGCAGGCATGCAAAACCAAGTTGGCAGGCAAAAGCAAGCAGGGAGGCAAATGTAGCAGACAGGCTGAAAGCCAAGTATAAAAAAGCAGGGAAAAGCAGACAGACAAAAGTAGGCACACTGGCAGGCAGCCAGGCAAAAGGTGGCAGGGAGGGAAAAGCATGTATGCAGACAGGTAAGAACTAGCAGCCAGGCAGGCTTGGAGGCATGCAGGCAGGGTGGAATATACCCAGGGAGAAGCAAAGACAGGCAAAAGCAGGCAGACAGGTAAAAAGTGGTGGGGAAGCAGGAAAAGGCAGGTTGGAAGGCAGACAGGAAAGCTGAAAAAAAGCAAGCATGGAGGCAAAACAAAAGCAGGGTGAGAAAAGCGGACTGGCACAAGGAGGCAGGCAAAAGTATGAATGCAAAGACAGTGAGAAATAGCAGCCAGGCAGGCAAGAACAAGGAAGACGACAGAGAGGCAAAAGGAGCCAGACAGGCAGGCTAAAGAAAACGGGCAAAAGGAGACAGGCAGAAGAAAGCAAGGCAAGGCTAAACAAGGCAGGCAACAGCAGGCAGGTAAGCAAAATGGGTTAGGAAGGAAGGCAGGCAGGCAGGTAGGCAAAAGGAGGCAGGCCTGCAAAATCAGGGAGGGGTAGAAGGCAATAGCAGCAGGTAGCAGAAAGTAGGCACACAGAGAGACAAAAGGAAACGGAATGAAAAGCAGGCAGGTGGGGAAAATCATGTTGGCTGGCAGCAAGGCATAAACACAGACAGAAGCAGGCATGGAGGCAGGGAGGGGAAAAAAGCAGGTAGGCAGACAGACACAAGAATGCAAGGAAACGTTAGGCAAAGCATCTAAAAGCAGGGAGGCAAGCAGAATGCAAAACTAGGCAGGCAAAGATGGACTAAGACAAAAGGAGGCATAACTTGAGAGGCAGAAAGGCAAAACAACATAGGAATGGAGTCAAAAGCAGGCAAACAGGAAAACACATGCAGAGAAGCAGGCATAACCAAGGAGGCAGGCAATAAAAGTGGGCGCACAGGTAGACAAAAGAGGCTGGCAAAATCACATGCAGGCAAAGAGAGAAAAATGGCAGCAGGAAGGCAAAAACAGATGGGTAGGCAAGCACGCAGGTAGGCAAAAGCAAGCAGCCATAACTAGGCAGGCAGGCAATGTCAAGGAGTCAGGCAGGAAGTCAAAGGGGATAGGCAGGGAAAAAGAGAAACACAGGAAGGAAGGCCAAATAGGCAGGCAGACAAGCAAAAGAGGGCTGAAGAAGGAAGCAGGCAAACGCCAACAGGTAGGTAGGCAGAAAGTCATTAGCATCGGGTATTTAGGGAAAAAGAGGCTAGCAGGGAGGCAGGATGGCAAAAGAAGGGAGGAAAGTAAAGCAAAGAAAGTCAAGGCAAGGGAGGCATGCAGGTAGAAAAAAGAAAGCAAGCAAGCAAAAGTGGGCATTCAGGCACACAGAGAGAAGCAGCAAGAAAGGCCAAAACAGGCCGGCAAGCAAAGCCTTGTTACGAGTACGAGCCTCCTGTCGAAAACTACTTTTGGAAAGCATCGGTGATGTCGCAGAGTTTTTGTCCTCACCGTTGTGTATTGATGTATGGAGGGCCATCTACTA